TTCTACATGGTCCTCACAGATCTGGACATGAAAGCCAAGGTAAAAGACACGTAACTTGGCACGCATTACATTTTCTACATGGTCCTCACAGATCTGGACATGAAAGCCAAGGTAAAATTACAATTTCACCACTTTAAAGCTCTCTTCTTCCACAGTACTTTTTAGGGGTACGTGAGGTGTGCCAGCGCAAAGCCGAGTCCTGTTTGCAGACAGCTGGAATAAACAAAGAAGCCACTGTGCAGTCAGGCAGTGGATAGACAGTAAAATCTATTGAAAATCTTCAGAACCGTAGTCAGTCAGACACCCACAAATGCTGAGTTAATTCTGGGCATGTAGTGTTTGAACTGAATTGTGAGAGCTGAATGTTGACGTAACCAACTATGTTAATAAATAAACTGCCCACAAATAAACATGAATCATCACGGTCACTGTAAATGAGTCTTAGTCTTTGTTTTAAGAACAGGTTTTAACATCCATATTAATTTAATTATGTATGCCTTCATTAACTGGCATTATAAAATAAATAAAATTCATAGCAGATCTAGCATTTACACTAAATGAAAGTGTTGAATTTACATAAAGAAATAAGTTGATAAACATTTAATTCAAAAGAATAATCATAAAAAATACAATTGCAAAGTCAAAAGAAATGTGACATTGGACTGCGTTTTGGATTGCATTCTTGCTTGAACAGCATATTTGTTGTGGTTTGCAGAAAAATGTCAAGAATTCTTCACAGCATTCTTTTGATTTGACACACAATTTTGGGTTTGGCATTCTTTGCTGCTCAAAACCTATTGAGAAATCCCCTTACTAGTGAAGATACTTGGTTTCTAACCCTCTATGAAGCTTGTTTCATGTATCTTTTTATTTCCAGCAATATTATGAGGTGCCAATTGCGATGAAGGCTGTGTTTGATTACATCAACACGTTTTCATCACGCATCAGAGAGATGGAACAACTGAAACGTGATGGGGTGACGTGTAAAAAAGAAGACAATCCAAGATCATTGGAGAACTTTCTTTCCAGGTAGTTCATAAGCATTTTCTATTGAAAAGATTCATTGCTGGGAATCTTACAAGTAATGTACTGTTCTAAAGATTTTGGGCTACTCGATTTTAGGTTCCGCTGGAGACGCAGGTTGTTTGTCATATCTGCACCAAATGATGAGGAATGGGCCTATCAGCAACAGCTCTATGCACTAAACAGCCAGGCGTGCAACCTGGGTAAGAATAACAATAACTAAACCTTGGGATGTCACTGAAGGAGAATTTTCGATAAAAATGCCAGATAACATTATTGCACATAAATACACATTGCATTATTGGGGAGAATTTTGACTACAGATGGACCTTTTTATTCTAGAATCTCTAGAGGGTTTTGCATATGTTTCTTTCTCGTGTCTCAAGTTTGCCAAGATAATATCTCACATTGATTTTCTCTTGTCACTCAGTGAAGATTGAAACCAGATCATTGTTACTGTAGCTCAGACTAAGCCAGCTCTCATGAACTCCATTGAGTTATGAATTTGGAATTTTTCTTGGTATTATTCCCAAGAACAATGTGTATTTGTGATGATACTTGCATTCAGAAATGTTTCCCAGAAAATAAGCTTGACACAACAGCGGTGAATGTTTGCCATTTTGTCTCTTTCCCAGAAATCCTGACAAACACATAACTTATGTAATTAAATTTTTGATATAATTTTTATATTATATAGCTCTGCATAGAGTAGGTGAACTTTATTGACATTCAAATAGTATATTTATTAGTGGTGAAGTGTAACCTCATGGTCTTAGTCAAATTCCACATCAAATGCCTGTGGAAATCATAAAGAGATGTTCCTAGTTGTGAATAAACTAGTTAATAGCAATTAACAACTTAGGTTTAAAAAACTGAGGCTACAGGATTCACATTTGATGTATGACTGTGAGTAATTTGTTGTGGAACAAAATGTGAACGTCTCCTGAAATACTGTTAACCACTTGCCTTAATTTACTCATAAATTCTAAACTGCTATTCCAAAAAACATTCAGAAATTACCAGAGGGAGCTCTCAGAAAATTAGCTTACAAACTGACGTCACATCTTTACTCGGCTCTATAAAAATAATAATTATGTGGCAGAATGTGAAAAGATCTTAGAACAATTGCAGTGTTTGACAGGCATGAACCAAAAAAGAAATAACTTTCTCCTCCATTTAAACTGACATTGGATTTGAATATGGCTGTCAATTCAGACTTAAATGTCTTGAGAAACAGCTTTGTTTATTAATACATCCCACACATATTCTATTACCAACAATCTGTAAGCTACAAACATGCCCCTTAAATGGCCTAAATGTCAGCAGGGGAACATTTAAAAACTCAGGGTGGTGTTGAGATTTTAGAAAAATTATTTCTGTCTTGGTCGATTTGCAGGTCTTCGCCATGTATCAGTACTGAAGCTGGTGGGCACAGAGCTGATAGACATGGGAGGAGTGTTGGATCTTTACCCCATCAATGGTAAGACCACTGATGTTGAAACACTAGCAAAAAAAAAACACTTCTGGGAAGTGAGACTTACCAGTAAACTCCTAAAATCTGGTCTAGACTTTGAGGTGCGAGAAGACCTTTTAACAGGTATGTAAACACTTGTAGCAATGGTTTAAAAAGCAGCTGAAAAATCAGATGCTTACTTATTGTGGTCTTAGTAAACATATAAAGCATATTGTTTTGCTCTTGTAGTAAACAAATTCTTAAAGTCTAGATGAAAATATACCTCAGAACAGCCAGGTGTTTAGTTTAGCGCGTTAAGGGTTAATCAGCGCGTTATGTTAGATGCGGTGGTGTTGTGTTGACACTGGCTGCTCAGTCAAAAGCAGCCAGGAGCCCCTCCCTGCATGAGTCAGCCTCTCCAGCTCCGGCCGGGCTCAGAAATGACCAAACAGTTCTCACAGGAATAATATTTTTTACAGGACAGAAATGAAGAACGGCTCAGGTGTTTACATATTTTCCATCATTGTTGAAACTTCAGACATTTTTGCGTTCACTGGCACCGAGGCTCCTGTGTGTTTTGAAAGGCTGCATCAGCAGTCTGTCTGATGCATTAAGATCAAAAAGTGATTCTGTAAGCTGTATTTAGAGTGCTGACCCATATCTAGGCAGGACCCATATGTAAGATGAAAGCAAAGTCAATATCTGACAAAACATGTTGGTTTTATAAAAATAAATCTGGTTTCTATGAAAATGTTCTGTAAGAGATTCTTGTCATATTATGTATGTTAAAAAGCCCTTTATTTAAAGTCAGATGTGCATATATTTGCTAAAGGAGTTTTGCTAAAGGATTGAAAAGATGGTGGAAATTTTTATTTAATTATGTATCGATTTATTTATTTTGACAGTTCAAAAGTTTCCTAAAAATCCAAGTATTTTTCCATGGTACCACTGCAGTAACCACCACTGATTTTTGATGGCTCCATTACTTAGTCAATATTTAAATGCTTTGTGCCATTAAGAATATATATATTAAAAAAAAGACACTGTTGTACAATTTTGTAAGACAATGATATTTTTTATTCAGCGAGGGTGCATTTAATTGATCAAAAGTGAAAGTAAATACATTTCATTACAATTAGTATTCAACAGGGTTGAAAAGAGGACAAAAATCAATTCAGTATTCTCTTAGAAAGTGCATAAAGTACTTTCTGTGGACAGTGAAAGCAAGATTTTTTTTAATTTCAGTAAAAGCAAAATTTAGGTATAATTATGTTTTATATTACCCATTAAATTGCAGTGATGATGAATGGTGACATGCACATCGGCTCAGCTAAAACAAACCTTTTAAAATAAAATTGTTTTGCATTACGCACTGAACTCAAATCTATCAGATAATGTGAAGTTAAGTATCCTATTAATCACTGCTAAGTCATTTGTGGTGAACAAATGGCACGATTTTCTGTATATCCACCATATGTTGTTTATGTGCAGCTGCACACCTGTTTTCTGACACCCACGTTTATGTGTTTCAGGAAGTGCAACGGTGGAGCGCGAGGGCATATCTGCCACTCTAGTGAAGGACATTAGAAACTATTTCCAGATCAGCCCCGAGTACTTCTCCATGCTGCTGGTGGGAAAAGACGGAAATGTCAAGTCCTGGTACCCATCCCCCATGTGGTCCATGGCCATCATCTATGACTTGATCGACTCCATGCAGCTCCGCAGACAGGAAATGGCTATCCAGCAGTCTCTAGGCATGCGCTGCCCGGAGGATGAGTATGGTGGCTATGGCTACCACCATGGCTATCATGAGGGGTACCAGGATGGTTATCATCAAGGTTATGGTTATTAGGGTTTACGCTTTCATAAAACAGTGTCAGGGTAGGAGATAACTAAAAACTTCCCTTTTAACTGGTTTTACATTTATCGTATAAAGCTGTTCATTTTTAAAGATGCATCTCCTCTGCTACACATCTGTCGGTGTATATCGTTTCACATCTATGGACAATCTTTTGTAGATAAAGACGTTAACAAAACATTTGTATTTATTGGATGTCTTCTCTAGAAGAAGTGATCGTTTTTAAAGGTCACAACCTGCTTTTTCTTGTTAAACTATGTTTTGATATTGTTACTCTATATTTAAAGAGCACTGTCGCTGTATGTCTTATTTATAAACGTATTAATTGTACTTTAATTTCAATAAAAATATATTGTATTGCTATCATGCCTTTTGATATATGTTCCAAACATCACAAGTCAACTCTATTTTTAGCGGAACTTTTGTAGAATACAGCTGAGATTTAATTTTAAGTGCTTACTTTATGTGATCTTTGAGTTTCTTCCTCCCTTATTTTATAAAGGCACTCAAATATAGGCATATCAAATATCTGCTTAAGCACTATGTCAAATGTAGTTTGACTTTTTCTTTGCTTTGCTCCTTCTGCTGGTCAATAATATATTAGCAGTTGCAACAAAATAGCAGTATTACTAAGAACTGAAATGAAAACTACAAATATTTTAGCATGTAGGATTAAAATACGGATGTTTATTATTGCAAAAATCCAAGTATTTTTTTAAAGGTCATATGTCAACAAATACGACATCATGCACAACATGGCACATGCTTTGAAACATAATTATATTCCCATTACAGAAGTACATTAAAATTTAAACAAGCTCCTCTTACCTTAATACCTGCACCGTCACTTTATGTCTTTCAATGAAAACTACAAATATTTTAGCATGTAGGATTAAAATACGGATGTTTATTATTGCAAAAATCCAAGTATTTTTTTAAAGGTCATATGTCAACAAATACGACATCATGCACAACATGGCACATGCTTTGAAACATAATTATATTCCCAACTAAAATAAAAAAACAAATAGTCAACTATTATATGAAGGAACCAAGAATAGTCCAAACAATAAATATGAAAGTAACACTTTCACAAACCCCCATGAGTTTGATACATGGTCATAATGTTTACACAGTTTGTAAGAGAAGAAAATAAACAACTCTTTGATCCCTTTGCATGTCACGCAGACATTCCATGTGACTGAAACAATTATCATTCATTATAATAAATTTACATAATACATGTAAAGGCTGATTCCAGAATATTTACATGATAATTAGAGAGATGGGTTCAAAACAGACTCAGAACGATTCTTCTTCAGATTCGCTCTCTGTGTTAGCCTTGGTTAGTCTCTCCAACTCCTCCCCATCCTAAAATAAAAACATAAAACACAATCATGAACTACCACATACATTCTTTTCAGACCACTGCAGAAAAACATCACAGCTTTTAGTGACTATAGATATATCTTTAAAGATAGATAATAGGTGGTACTATCCAATGAAGAAGGTTTGTATAAGTTCTGGAATTTTTTTGTAGGGACCATTCATACAGAAGATAGCCTTGCATTTTAAAAACGTGAGAGGCAGCAGAATGGAAAAGAATGCAGGCCATCAAAACATTGATAAAAGCATTTTTAAATGTTAAAAAAGTGCTCAAGCAAGACAGAAAAACGGAACAGCGACGGAATAGTCAAACACACTGCTTCCAATAAAAACTCTAAAATGTATTCAGGATTAACTCCAAAGTGTTTACAGAGTAATTTAATTGTCTAAAAGAACTATGGCATGAGGAGCGTATCAGATTCAGTGGATCTTATATTTGATACTAAGAACTTGTGTGTCATTATGGATTGTCCTATTCTGCATTGTGCATTTATGAACTGAGATCTGATTCCAGGGATTATTTATTAATAAAGATGTGACTTTTACTCACAGTAGGATTAATTTCATACAGTTTGTTGTTGTACACTGATCCCACTCATTTTGGCATTTGTTGATTATGTACAATTATATACAATTTGGGTAAGATTTTTTTTACAAGTGCTGGGTAATCATGGGATGCAAGACATGACTTTGAGGCTGTTATTATTAGGAATTTTTTCTAGTGTGTAGTCTTTATATATGGGCTAATGCTTAGATGATTGCATTGGCTTCAGCGGTTAACCCTAAACTCTGACTGCAAATTCTACTTCCATGTATATGATAATTACGGACAAATGCGGCTGATGTTGGTTCGCCAGACTTTAATCCATCTTTATATAGGTATGTATAAAAAAAGGTTTTGGTCACACTTTAATTTGAGGTCCAATTCTCGCTATTAACAAACCATTAACTACGACTTTTGCCTCAATAAACTGCTTAATAGTTAAATTAGTTGTTAAGTTTAGGTATTGGGTAGGATTAGGGATGTAGAATATTGTCATGCAGAATATTTGCTTTATAAATACCAATGAACAGCCAATATGTTAATAATAGGCATGCTAAAAAGCAACTAGTTAATAGTCAGAATCAGTCCCTATACAAAAGTGTTACCAACGTTTTCAGAAAGAAGCTAAAGTGAACTATTTTCCCATTCTGCTGTGTCTCACAAGGGTTCTATAATAGTTTTATAAAAAGTGCCAACATGCTACTAATCGAATTTCCTGCTGTATAATATATTTGATCTAAATAATGCAATAATCTAAGGTAGGGCTTTGCTTCTCCAAATTGTGTTGTCATTATAGAGAATTCAGGTTTCTTACTCATCCTTACTTAATTGGATTATAGTTTGCCAGACCTCCTCTACAAAGAGCTCCTTGTTTAAACTGTCAGAGTGCACACTTAAAAAATTAAGGTGGAAACTAATAACTCGTATGGAATAAATGATCAGCTGAGATACAAAGGGACCTTTTTAAATCTTTTAGAATCTTTCAAAATGACTCTTACCCCTCTTGACCTCTCAAACACCTCGCCATTGATGACCCTGAGCCTCTCCTGCTGTAGTGCGTACTCTGGATCCTTCAGTTTGCTGCTGTGGTAAATAAAGATGCCTAGCAGTACTAAAGGCGCCTGCAGGAAGAAATCCATCGATGGACGAAAGTCAAACAGGAAGAGAGAGAGCGCAGTGACGATGACTGTGGTGATCTGGCCTGTAAGCACATGGAACATGTTATCACGGAACTTGAGAATGAAGGCCACCGACAGGCCTAGGGCGGCTGTGACGAAGACCAGTGCGATGGAGAAGACGTTGTGTCCGTAGAGGAAGCCGCAGTGTAGCGTCAGGTCACGATAGTCAGAGTGCAGGAGCAGCGTGAGGCTGTTGAAGATCAAACCGAACATGTACAATTTGCTGTTCTGGATGAAGATGCTCTCCACTAGCTGCTCCCCCTCCTTGAGGATCTTCTCATTGTAGATGTTGGCCAGCGCAGAGATGAAGCATTGCAGCAGCAGCAGGACGTAACCCAGGCCGAAGCTGTTCAGCTTGTGGATGAGCGGGCTGGCCCACAGCTCATGTTTCCAGTATGTTTCATTATAGTTCTGATGCTCTGGCTTGGGGTGGGCATATTTTAGGCAGCTGTTAGAAGGGGTGGAAATGTGGGCTGGGTGGATGCCATGTACAGCAATGGCGTGCTGGTCACCACTGCCAGTCGTCAACGACACAATGGACAGGAACAAAATGATCAAAGATGCCCACTGCACCCAAGACAGGCGCCTCCTGCAGGTCAAAAAATGGAAAGTCAGTAACAGATAAAAAAAAACAAAAACAAGGATATTAAACAGATATCAAGAAAAGATGGTACTTACTTCAGCACAACACGGAAGAGAATGGCTGTTGTAAAAATTACAATGTTGGAAAACATAACTGCCATGGCCTATTAAAACATGAGAAAAATATGAATGTTGTAGTCGTTCATAAGTTTGGGGTCAATGCAATTTTTTCTTTGAAGGAAATTAATCATTTTTCTCTGAAAGTTGATCAAAAGTGATAAATGCATTTATAATGTTACAAAAGACATCTATTTCAAATAAATCAACTTTCTATTCATTGAAGAATGTATTATGGTTTCCACAAGCATATTAAGCTGCACAACTGTTTTTAACTTTATTATTAACATTGAGCACCAAATCAGCATATTAGAATGATTTGTGAAGGGTCATGTGACAATGAAGACTATAATGGTTGCTGAAAATTCAGCTATGTCATCACAGAAATAAATAAACCTGTTATTTTAAATTGTAATAATATTTCACAGTATAACTGCTTTTACTGTATTTGTAATCAAACAAATGCAAAATACCATCTTGCAGGTCCCAATTCATTTAAAGCTTATAAATACATCTATTTAATATATACATTTACATATTATTATTAATATATACATACACATACATTTACAAACCCAATTCCAAAAAAGTTGGAGAAATTTGAAACTTCCACATTCCATTCTGTTTTTATTCACAATTTGTACAGTGTCCCAACTTTTTTGGAATCGGGTTTGTAAATTAATGTATTAATTTAATTACTATATATATTTTTTTTTTTTGTATAAAGTAGTAAATGCAAAGAGTTACTTTCCAACTAATATTTATCCATAACTATAAAATTTTAATAATTCAACGTACAGGTTGCAGATAGGTCATCACATAGAAGATTATGAGGTTATCAAGGAAGTAGAGGAATGCAGGAACGGACCATTTCAGGTAGCTGAGAAAAGAGGCGCCAGATGAACACCCCAAATCTTTATAAGAGCGGCCCTCTGGAAAACAAAAGCAATGATTGTAGTTCCATAACAAATAACATATACAGTAAGCTGAAATAACAACATGTATCTAGAGTTGGGAAGGTTACTTTGGAAATGTAATTGGTTATAGATTACAGGTTACCCTATTTAAAATGTAATAAGTAGTGTAACTATTTCAATTACTTTATTAAAGTAATGTAACTGATTACATTTGATTACTTTTCTAAATTTCAACTGTTAATTGGGGTGGTTAATCCTTTTGAAACATTTAAAGCAGGCAGGGTTAACCTTACAGTATAGGACTCAACAATGATTACTGTCAGACTTCTCAAAATCCTTCATCACTTGAATTAAGATTATACAAATTTTTATTTAAAGCACAGCTAACACAAAATCAGACTTTAGCACCTCTTTTTACTTTGAGATCATTCCGAGGTTAAATAAGAAATAGTTGAATAGCTATGATACTGTTTTTGAAATCAAATCTTTGCATAGCTACGACAGGAAACACTGGCATCTAACAATGCCTTGGAAAAAAGTTCATCTTAAAAAATAAAGAATGCATATACATAAACCCAAATAGCAAATAAAACAAAATAAACTCCTGAAACATTGGT